CTAAATCAAATTTCAATCGTGAATTTATTTTCTTTGTTCATATGGTTGTTTTTTTATTATAACCATTTTTCGCTTGATTTGAAGAATTATTTCAAGTATTTACTATGTCAATGTCTTTATATTGCAAAAATATTTGTGCCTTTCATTTATCAAAATTAAAGTAATTCTATTATAGAGGCTTCTTTATAATTTAGTACTAATAGTACAACAGAAAATAAAATATACAAATAAAAGTTCCTTGCATGCTTTACTTCTCAACTAAATGATTTTTGAATAAATTAAAACTAGAAATATCAACGAAATTGGTTTAATTATAAATATACTTTTATAATAAAATAGATGTAAATTAAATAATAAATTTAAACCTATACTTCTAAATTTCGTTCCTTTATTTTTATGTTGTTAACTATTTTTTTGAGCGTCTAAAACTAAAAATATAGTCAGTTTTGGCAATAAAGAAGCCATATATAAGTGACAACGTATTTATTTTTATAAATCCATTTATTCAATTTATTTACAACCATCCAAAAAGGTCTCAAATTTTCTTAAATTTTATAGAAAAAAAACCACTAGAATTACAATACTTCAATCGAATCATAAAAGCATTTGATTAGAACATAATCCCTTGATCATTTAGTTATTAAAAATCTCTATTGCTCACCATAATTATCTCAATTAAATTGAATAATACATATGCTTTTTAAGTGAAGAAAGCTAACAAAATTATTGAATCTTAATATTATAGTACCCAAATGTGCGCTTGGATTAATGGATGCATATTATAATTAACATTTCTCATTGATTTAATGAGTTTTGAATCCAAATAAATATTATCCTTCTACCCAGATTTATTTACTCAGTCAAAGTTCCTAACTAATTTTGTCCTAATAGATTAAGCTTATAAGTTTTTCTACAAAAAACAGTAGTATTGATTTCTAGAGATGAGTAAAGTTCCATGATCATTTCACAGCAGAGATAAATTACAACTAAATAACTAGATTTATGTTAGAAATCTTTAATGCTTGGTCATAATCGTTTGAAATTTACAATTATTGCTAATTTAATTATACTTTACAGTAATTTAAAGATTTTTGTTTTAAATTAATAAATGACATTCACAAATAGCTGCTCCAAATCTTTTCTATTAAAAGTTATGAGAAGAGATGTAAATATAAACAAATTAAAGGAGCCTATTGATTATTGATGAGGAAGAAAAGTGGTTGAGCAAATTAAAAACTGAGACTAAATGATTAAACAAAAATAAGAATAGGATTCAATTTAGACCTATGCTGATAAAAAAAAGTTGTTGCATATATTTCATCGTTTTTTATATGTTACCAATTAAATCACGCACATTAAAAATTTTATATTTATCTTCTCCTTAAGTCACCTAATTAAATCTACGGTTCAACACTAATCCTAATTACAATTTATTTTAACTGAATACTACTTTCTATTTTGAGCCTTAAGCTTTAAATATTATCATATCAATTAAAATTAGGCATCTTCTCGATTCTTTCATGAGATTTCATTTGATAAAATGTTTCATATCATTCCACTAACCTTTTTTAAGGTAAGTCATGTTGATAAAAACAATTGCTTTTCGATTAATCATAGGCAGAGAAATATAACCTAAATGTAAATCAATATCCTACACTATATAGTTTGTTGAGGAAAAAAAAAAGATCGAATTACGAAATAAATCAATGTACAACAGCTGATTGATTTATTAAAATAATTAATTGTATGAAAAAGGATTATTTCTAGTTAAAAAACATTAGAACTATAAGATAGGTGTAATTTTAAGAGTCGAATAGTTTTTGTAAGTTTCAAAAAACAATACTAATTCTAAAAATTGGTTGAGTCAATATCTTAATTGGAATTTCATTTATAATTGTAGCTATTAGTAATAAAAGATCAAAATAATATATATCGTACATTTTCAAAGGTGCAAGTGTCTATTATTGATGGTCAAAATAAATTTCATTTAATCACTTGACATATTCAATATATGTTAAGATATTATAAAATGGATTTTTTAACGTGTTTCTTTATAAATCCAATCAATAATATTCAAATAATGGTTTTCAGGGCTATTAAAAACTTTAAAATTTATCTTTTTTATACAATATTTCTTCCAAACTATTTAATCAAGAAAATATTGTATCAAACTAAATTTTTGACGGAGCAGAAACCACAAAAGACAGTTTAATCTAAGTTACAAGATTCAAGGTATCTATTGTATGTGCTTTAGTTTGTTTGGTTTATTTGTTTATTATCTGTCAGATCGCATTATTCAGCCGAATAGGGAATTAAATTGCCAGCTCCACGCATAGGGACACAATTAAAATCAGCATTATGATCATCTCCATAAATACATTCAAAACAAATTCCAAATTCACAAGTTTTGCAAAAGTTTATACATGAAAATTCACATTAATAACAAAATCATTAGATATCAGATTAGCATCATGGCATTTTTCTTATCCTTGAATAACTCCATCACCACAAATTGGACGACAATTTTCAAAAACTACTTTTAAATCAAAAACTTCTTTGCAAATCAAGGTATCTAGTATCAATTTACTCTAAGGAACTGTCATTGAATTTATTTATTATTATTTCTGAAACTTCACAATTACTTGTTTGACATACTTATCCTTTATCGCCACAAATTGGATGACAATTTTCAAGAAACCAATTGTAAATCCAACTTTCTTAACAAATCATGAATCTAGTATCAATTTATTCAAAACAACCCTCATTCAACTTCTTAAACATTATTTCTGGCTCAGTATAAAATGCTTCAAAATCTCTCATGTAACTCAAAGATGAAGACTTAAAATTCAGTTATTATATAGGATCATGTTGATCTTTGATTAATATTTCTATTAAATATAGTCTACAATTATAATCTTTACATCATATTTAAAAACCTTATTAATACAAACTGCTGAGGAGGAAGCTATGTTTAATATTCAATTTAAGAAAATATCAGCAAGTCGCAAAAAACTACATTAGTAGTTACTTCTTTCAAAATTGAATAATAAGACCACCAATTTGTGGTGATATAATTCGAATTTCGTGAATATTAATGAAGTTTCCTTTATAAGCAAAATCTAGGATAATTTTCAATGCATCCACCACATTCATACTAACATTTAACGATGCTTAATTTAAATGATATTAATCCTCCATAATCCGAATAAAGATATATCCAAAATGTTCTTCTATTATGTTAATAAGTAATAGAACTAGTATGTAAATATTCTGGTTAAACACCACCACTTATCGAACTTTAAGTTGATATCACTGATCCAAGACTTTCTACACTTAGTCTAAAAAAACAAACTTGGATGAATTTAATCAATACTTTTGTAATTAAGAATTATAAATACCTTAGAAATTGTGCATCCACAACAATATGAGAATGATATTCTATATCCAAAAGATCTTACTATTAATGTATAAAAAATGCAGATATCCAGAGTATTAACTTGATATAGTTAATCCTTTTGAATAATTTAAGAGGAACAAACACCTATGTGGGATGAAAGTGTTTAGGAATAAAATCGATTGGTTTTATCTATTGCATCCCTAGAAGACCTATTACAAAGAAAATATTAATTATAAACTTTATCATTCTGTTAATGAGTATATTTTGAACTCTCCTTGAGTTTAATGAGTGAAGCAATTTAGTCCAGGTTTGATTATGGTCAAATCTAAAGTATTTCTAAAGAAATCTGAGATTTTCCAAAATATTATTCTCTTTTATCCAATATTTTTCGAAAAAAGTTCACTCAATTCTCCTTTTTTCAGTTAAGTCCTTGATTTAAGTTGGTTTGTTATAACTCAAATTGATGGCAGTTATCTGATTCAATCGATATAAAATAATTGGCAATTTCATCTAAATACTTAGTATTCATGCCTGATTAAAATTCTTGAAAATTAGAAAATCATTAAGTATAATTAATCTCATTCAAGATTTTGAAGAAAATGCAGAAAACATACATGTAGTTATATGTTTAAATTTTTATTAGGCAAACATTATTATAATTAATCTTTGATTTTAAGCATTGCATCACTACAAACGATAAAGAAGTATAGGACTTCACGATACTATATAAGATTTATAAGGTATTTGTAAATTTTTTAATCTTCTATCAATTCATTTTTGTGCAAAATTTCATTTTTCCATTTATTAGAAAAGTGTAAATAATTGCAATCAAAAAATATAAAATGAATTAATTTGAAATAAGGTTTAATCATAATCATTGAATTTAAGATTTAAATAAAATTCCTTAACTCAAATACTACAATGAGGATAAAAAAACGTTGAAACATTTTCCAAAAGATATTGATATTTAGAACATTTAGGAAGATGCTATTTTGATTTTAAAGTTAACAAATGACAATAGAGAAAAATTTCATCAAGAAAACTTTTTCAAAATAAAAAATATGAAATAATTCTTCATTTTAAGCCTTTTAAAAAGGAGACTTGAAAGCGACAAGATAGATAAATTTTCCACAAAAATAATCTGATTGAGGAAAAAACTATTTGACCTTTTGCCCAAAGATGTTCGGATTGAGAATTTGATCCAGTAGCAAAGAAGTGAATTTAATATCTTAGCTAGATAATAAATTTAGATTGAGATATCAGGTATAAGGACTTAGAACTATCTCTGGTAAACTTTTAATTATCCATGGAATAATTTTAAGGTCACTAAGTTCTTGAAAAATTAAATGAGGTACTTCTAAAAGTTGTTAGGAGTCTTTTGAAGGATTTTTGGAAATATCAAAAAATTAAAATCCAAATCCTATTATAAATAGTATTTATATTAATAAATATGTAACAAATATTCTACTTAATCTGAGTTAATTTACATATTTTAATAATATGGCTAAATGTAATGGATAATCCAAGTGAGAAAAGAGATAAGTAGAGCTAATGAATAACATACAAATATTTTTTACGTATAATCCCAATTTAAGAACTCTCCTTTTAGATGTTCAAAAAGGGTGTCGCATTTTTTATAAATTTCACAAAATGAAATAAAAAGTTTAGAAGATTGAATCTATCATTTAATAATCAGTCTAGTTTAATAGAAGAGTAACATTAATAAAGTAATTCTAAAAAGATAATAACTAATCCTATTATTAGGTACTTAGAATTTAGAACAAGTATGTACATTCAAACTTTGTTTGATAAATTTATTGTCAAGAAAAATGTTATCAAATTGGAAAATTTAAATTATGAAAAGGTAATTAATTGAAAATTGATACATTAAGCACTTCCTACTACTGAAAGTGGTATTAATGGCTTCATTTAGAAAGTACATATATAATGTTTAGTTGTTTGATGAGTTATGGATTCATTAAAGCTGAATAGAAAAGGGCGATTAATAATATGGAATCAAAAGAAGAAAGATATGATAACCTAAAATTTCTACTATTGTGGGACCATTAATAAGAATGATGAACTTAGAAAACAACTTTCTCACAAATAATTAAAAAGTATTTAGTGCTATAAAACTAATCTTGTTGAGAGAAGTACTTAATTAAGTTGATGATGAGGAGTTTGCTACAATGATATTAATTTAATTGTGCAATAATACTCATTATATTGATTAAGTTTTACTTAATAATATAAGGCTGTATAATTTTATATTCAGAAGCGATGAAAAATTTTACACTAACAATCTTATTATCTTTACTTTTGCTTTCTTAATAATTCTTTGATTTTCTTCATTTATTTTTCATGAAATTGGAAGATAATTATAAGAAATGCGCCAAATTAATTGCTATGATTGATTCACCCTCTAGAATACATAATGAGAACAAACTTAATCATTAATTCTAAACTTCTTAGAATTAGAGTACCTTGTACTACTGATCTTGATTTCATTAGGTTAAGAAAATTAGTAGTCTCATCATTAATTTTTATTTTTCTTTAGCAGAAATTTGGACTCATTTATATTATACCAATTCATTTTTTCATTTCTTATGATAAATTCAAAAACAAATCTCTTAATACTTAAAATTAATATAAATCAAAATCAATATTGGTGAATGATTATTGTTGTACCGTGACTAAATAATTGATTAGATTATGATCACGCTATTAAATTGAATTTATTTGCAAAGATAGCTACGTTAGATTTGAAAGATACAGCTTAAACAATCTAATTAAGCAATTAAAAAAAGTATATTCTAATTTATTGCTTTAAGCGCTGGTAAAAAATGAACTTAAATAAAAGGAATAAATATAGCCTTATTGAGTTATTCCTGTGGTGTATTATTATTTTTTTGTAAACATTAGCCTTCAATCTATACAATGTATATTCATTAAATGGAAAAACTACATTTAATTCAATATGCAAAGTTCTATGCATATCAAAACCATTTGGATAATAGGTTTTATTTTATATACAATTGAAAATATAAAAGTTTGAATTTATATATAGTAATAACTAAAACAACAATATTTAGTAAAGAATATTGAAGGACTGATGGGTTGGTTGGTAGTTTAAGTAAAATTACTATAATACATTGAAAATAGATAGAAGGAAAAACCAAATCCAAGATTGAAAATTATTGTCTGAAGATATCTAATATTTTCTAACTCGTTCATGCCTTTGAATCAAATCTCAATAAATTTTCATTCAAAATGATATTATTAAATAATATGTTGAATAAAGGTCATTTTTTCATAAACCCAAATAAAGATTTTTTTTCCACTTAGTGTTCTATATTCCATGGTCTTTGTTGTTGTTATGGTTATGGTTGTGCGTATTCTTGGAGCTATTTTACATTAAAAAGACATTTCCAATCAATAAAATTTGAAATACTCTAAACATTTTAATTATGGTTTTATTAAATGGTTTACTCTTAACTTAGATTGTTTAAAGCTTCTTTACACATTTAATATTCATTAAATTATTTAAATATTTCTAGTTTAGAATTGACTTTATTATTCCAATGATCATTCAAGGTCTTAATTTTATTTGTTAAATTAACTTGGTCTTCGATATATGATTATTAGTTATTAATGATATAATCTAGCTCTTTAAAAAAGCTAAATTCTGAGCTTTTTTAACTAATGGATTATAAATTAAGAACCCATTCTTTTGTTTCTTCAAGCAAAATATCCAATTATTTAACAAGAGAAGACTTTAACTTTTAAATGTGATTTTAAACAGATTAAACATTGTTTATGTTAATTCTTATAAGACTTTCTAAGTTGTTGATGGATTTCTTCTTCTCTTCTTCAATCATTTGGATAATTTTCTTTAATCCTATGATCTTGGTATCTGATTCAAAATAATATAGGCAATTCTCACATAAAAGTCTTTGATTTGGTTGAAGATTAGGATTTAGATTTACCATTAAAATAGGTGATTAATGCTTCAGAGAACATTAAAGATCTTTTTCGTGTTCTTAAATTTTTAATTTGTACATTTTTTAATAGAATTCCAATATTATTCAAATAACTCAAAAATTAACTCATAAAAAGAATTAAATATTCATAGTTCCTTTCGTTGAAAGTAAATTCTTGCCTTATATAGTGTCTAAGGGTTTTCCAATGTAATAATCTATCAAGCTAATTTATGATCTTTATCACAAACTAAAAAAAAAAGAATAAGCCAATTTCATGGATTTTATTATATAACCAAATTTAAGAACTAAACAATTTAGAGATTAGAAGAAATTATTTAAAGGAATCTTTAGATTGGTAACAGAAATCAAAAAACCAATTTAAGAACGGGAAAGAAAAATGAAAACTAAATTGTTAAGCTTTCTCTCAGATTTCACTAATTATATCAATATTTCTAATACAAGCATAAAAAGTTCAAATATGATATTGAGTTCGAATCTGGGCATATCTAAAAATTTGATCTTTAAAATGAAACAGTCCTCATTTGAGAGAAGTATTAAATTTTCTTTGGTTCTACTTTTTCATCAAGATGAATATTAAGATAAATAAAATTTAATTTAATTCAAATGTGAATTTCCTTGTTTCAAATTAAAATTTTAGAGGTAAAGTAGAAGTAATTGAAATAAAATTAATTAGAAGATTATTAACAAAATAATTTGATATCGAATGCAGAGAGTGCTGTTAACAAACATTCTAGATAGTAATTATAATTATACTCGAAGAAACGATATAATTTAGAG